TTACCCTAAAATTTCAGCTTTCTAGCATCTCAGAACCCCGAGTTACGATTTTGCGCGGGAAAAATTCACGCAAAAAAAAAACATTCTAACTTACTTGGCCGAATACTGAAGGAAGAGAAAGCGATAAAACTGTAAAATCGTCATTGAGATTGTTCTGAAAACGTATCAAAATTACTGCCTTATAAAAATATATGAAGTTCCGAATATCAGCATAAAAATAATAAAACGTTTGAAATTTTTAGCCCTAGTTATTTCAGTTTCTTTATCGAAGCAATGGAAATGTGCATGTCGTGAATGGTCCCTTTTCGAAAATAGTAATGGACCGGGAGGAAACTCAATTATTCCGCTTCACGCCCGTACGCGACGTGCTATCTATCACATCACCTGCCCTTGTGTTCTGGGGTCAGCCTGGCAGCACATCTAGTGTATACCAGCCTTTCAAGGCAGAATACACTTGCCTTTTTCTGAGTGCTTTTAACAGGCAGTATACTTCTTCTGCCCAGTTTCTTACGGGTTTTTCGCGACAGCGCATGAGATGATCAAGCGATCAGAAAATGAGGCGATGGAGAGAAAAGTGGAATGGCAGACGGAATCCCTATGCAACAAGCAATGGGACTTCTCTCCAGGGAGGCAATGGATTCAACAATTTTCACCGATCCAACGACCCAACGATCCAACAATTTTTCGATGGATCATTTGCACAGAAGCCCAGAAGACGGCAAATTTCAGCTATCGAAAATTTCAAGTCTCAACTTATCGAAAAAATCGAAAAATTTCACCTATTAATGTAACTTCTTCCTTCTGAATTCAGTCCAATCTTTTTTCTACAGCAACCAATCCGCCAATGAAAAATTAACACCACTAGCTTTCTTGTTTCAACATTAAAACATTTTTATTTATTTGAACATTAGTTCCAGCAAGGGTATACCTGGTAGGAGCAACTGGCTCTGCTGCACTGTGTGAAAGCTGTGATTTTTCCGGTGCAAGGCGGTGTTAACTTTTTTTTCTCCGCTTTCCACTTCTGAAACAATGCTCCAAACTTCAACAGCACAGGAACTTCCGCTCAAGGTTACAGATAAAATTATTGCTGGCCACTTAAACCGCCCATTCCATCTGTCAAATTACCAATCGAAGGCAGGGCTTATAAACTCAAAGTTGGATTTCTTTAAAAGTTTTAAATAGAAATCCTCTGAGTACATGGGATTGATGGCCAAGTCCAAGTTTCTTTCTCGAATCGCTACGATCGCTACTGCACCAACTGCTGGCGTTCCTGTTGCTCTCTGTCTTCTTCCATCAATTTTTCTCGCGAGAAACGCAATTGCCCCGCACCCCCCGGTAAAACTTGAAACATTTACCTATGCAGTGAGTTTATGGTGGCAGGAAGATCCATCTGTGCTATGAGATTAGCTATATGGCTTCCCTTAAAAAAGTTACAACGAAAAATTTTAAAACATTTAACAAACCTTTATAGCTTTACTTGCAACCGCTTTCAACGAGCAACATGGATACGAGGCTTTCAGCTCCTGGAACAATCTTTTGTGGTATATTTATTACAAGCTGAGGCAGTTCCGATTGGAAGTAGGTGCTTTCCAGCGTCGTTCAGAATGCAAGGCATAGCTGACAAGGGGCCGAAGAAGAAGGGGTGGGGAACGATCGCGCGCATAAGTTTTATTATGAAAATTTTACGAGATTACACCGTGCCAGTACCACTAATGTGCCCTTTATTTGCATCAAGTTCAAATATCAAATCCATAAAATATAGTCTATGTGTTCAACTAACTGCACTGGCATCGTGCCTTTATCACCCATCAAAGTATAGGTGTGAAGTTGTCGGGGCCACTGTTTTATGCCTTTTTTGCAGCTATGCAATGCAGAAAACGCATACTGATAAGGGGTTGTGTGTGTCTGTGTGTGCATCTGTCCCGATTTTTCATCTCAAGACCTACAAAAGCTACAGGGCTGAAACTTTGGGGACTT